TCTACAGCTTATGAGGCACTTAAATTAGGTTTCGCTCCATAGAACTAGGCGTTCCGAACCCGACGTTTTCTAAAACTGATCTCTGTACGCTCTTTAAAATTTAACTGGGAAGATTTCATTAATCGTGCCTCTTCACTAGATGAATGATGTCGCTTTCCTGGAGTGAGATCATAGATACGAGCTTGAATGGATTGCTTTGGTTGTGAGTAAATTTTACTTGTTTCACTTCAAAGCACTGAACTTTCAAGTCGTTTTGCATGGCAGGAAAATTAAGGCAACAATCATGATGCATCTTGTTGACCCTAAAGTTCCTCATTATAACGGACCACCAGAACATTTTAGCCCTTAGCTTTATTTGTTATGTCATTATCTAGATATAGAAGACGAAAGATTACGCACAAAAACTGTCTTTATGATTATGGAGCCAATTATACAGAATTCATTTCCACAGGATATAATGATGCCACCATTTTAAAATAAAATTACCCATCTCTTTCGCTACATAAAATAGTGGACAAGTATCCAGCGTACTTATGTGTTCCTCCTTAGCCCTTAAATATTTTATCCCTTCAAATTACGAAAGAACTGAAGAAAAACGTGCTCATTCGTTCCTCAGAAATAAGATGAAAAGATCGGGTGTTCAATAATACAATCTCATTAAGCCTTAAGAGTGTTTGTGGAACAACCTAATATTATGTCTACATTTGGGGATTCACGGGTAATCTCAACTATAAACGAAGACGATCTGGTTTTGTTTTTTGTCCAACTTTAATGAAGCGTCTTTTCAGATGGTTAGTTCTAGACGAAGAAATAAGTTACGTTGTGACTCCTAAACTGTCGTATAGTATGTAGTGTGTGCTGACCTAGTATTAGGTCAACCTTTCGTTTGTGGTAGAACAGCGAAAACATGGCTATTCATCAATTTATTCCCACGAATGAGGTCATTTAAATGTCATCACTCTTTCAGTCTGTTCCAAAATGTATATTTCACATATGGAAGATATGGAAGAAGGATTGACTGTTTGGATTTCATGTTCCAGAAGGGGTCTAACTTAATAAGTGGCACATAGAATAGGTATTCATAGAAGTTACTAGAGGCATTACAAATTCCCTACAAGATTGGAAAGCTTTCGATAGCATATTCCTCATTCTTTGGTTTCCTAGTGGTTTAAAGTAGACAACTAATAGTTTATTGACAAGTCATCATACGTATAAAAATATTTGAGGGCGTGATCGTGTTCATTCGCTATCTTATTTTGTGTCGGCAACATATTCTCTGTTTCACTTTGTTTATCAGTGAAATTTTATTTACGCCTAACTAGGGCTGGCCAACTGAGCTGGTTTTGCTCATTGACGTGTTAGATGTTGTTACTAGAACAAAGCTCTTCCTTAAATTTAAAGTTACCGAAAAATTAATGGTCAAGTTTATGCAAAGTCTAAATACTTATGTCCAATAACGTTGTGTAGAGACAATTCGTTTGTAGTTCATCCATCGATAGAATGTGGTTAGAGCCTGCTTCCAGAGATCCCTAGTTTGTTCACTGAACTGGCGAATTTAGATCTTTATGTAGCATCATTATATCGCAAAAGCAATTGTCGTACTTGCTACAACTAAAGCATGAATATGTTTGCATTAAGGACGTTATTCGTTCGACATAAAAATGGTTTTGAAGTCTACAAATGCAAGACAAATATCAGAGAAATCAACAGAATAAAACACTGGAAATTAATATATACGTGTTAAAGTAGGATGAACGATGGAGCAACAAGTCTGTGACGAACACGACACTTACTTTCCACAGTAATAGTTTAGAGTGATGCTATGAAAGTCACAATTAAGTGGAATGCATAACCAAATATCAATTTGTGTGAGTCCTATGCACGTGGTAAAGATGAAATGAATTTGAAAAAGTTGTTTAAGTGTAACACAAGATATTATCTCAATTAAAGCTTTGGATACTTAGGGATAATATTTACTTAGAAGAAAAGAGAAATATAAGAGAAGTGAACACCTAGTGAAAGGGTCAACCATGATAATGAGAGTGTAATGAATAACGACCTTTGAAGCAAACGATTAAATTTTTTAAATTATTTCAGTCCACTCGGGTAAATGTATGTTATAGGATACAGAGTAAAACTTGATATTTGTATAAATTTTGTGCAATAATAATCCAGAATGATGTCATGAAAGTCATAAATAATCGCAAAGGATAAACAAACATAAATTTCTATGTGCTATATATATGTGGTGAAGATAAAGCGAATCTGAGAAGTTAATTTACTTAAGTGTGGAAAGATTATTTGTTTTTCGTCAGAGACTTTGGATGTTTAGGAATATAATATGTTTATATGGAAAAGAAGGGACGAAAAGAGTGTCTAATGTGTCGAGGGGCCAATTCTCATCATAATGATCATGAATATGAACATAAGCGAATTTCAGATATTAAGACGAATAGAAAAATTTCAAAAGTTCACTTTACTTTTCATTCAATTAGCTAGACGACAGACCTTCTTTGAATGAATCATTGTTAGACACACTGAAATTCAATAGGTGACAAAATCCACTTTCTAAAAGAAAATCATCGTAGAGGCTTCTGAACCAGATTTTAGTTTCTCTGCGACGGAGGTTCACTGGTAGTCTGTTACACGTGAATGAGTAGAGAATGACAAAAACATTTTGGCTTAAGGTTCTTGGAATCGCTAGAATATTTTCCCTATTGCGTAGATTGTGGAAAGATATCAGTTAGTATGAAGGGGTGGATACCAAAAAGTAAGAAATACCGTTAATAAGCTAGTAGATATGCCTGATCCAGAGAGGTTCGAATTTTGAGTTGTTGATATTTTTGGTGATAATCCTTGTTGTGGGAATATCCCAAAACAGCTTTGATGGACTTTCTTTGAACACCTTCGATTTTAACTAAGTCATTATGCCTTCAATTACTGCAAACTAAAATACCATATTCAAGAATGGGTAAGATACTTTTTTGTATAATAATAATCTCGATTCGATATTATGGGAGTTTTGCATTATGGATCCAATGAGCCTTCTAGCTTCGGATGCTTGAGATGCAATATGTTCGGAAAATTTCTAAGTGTTGTTATATCTCAAGTCCAAGTCACATACAGTGTTGAGAGGTTTCAGTGTATGTTTATGTATAGCCAGATTTGGGTTAAAGCAGAGGCCAATGTGAATAAATCCACTTTTGTCTAATTTAGGCTAATTCCACGAAACAATCCATTCGTACAACTTAGTTATTTCTTCCTGGATTACCTCTAAAATATAGTTTTCTGTGGTGAGAGAAGAGAATGAATAAACCACTTCTAGGTCATCGACAAAAAGGAAAGGTTTAGTGCATTGAAAGAGTGAATACATGCCGTTGATCAATAGAAGAAAGAATAATGGGCCATTCACACTTCCTTGTATAAACCCACTGGTTACTTCTACAGGCTGAGAGTGGCAAGATCCGAAGCGAACGATTTGACTACGTTCTGCTAAAAAATATTTGAGGAAATATAAAAAAGGAATTCTGCATGCTAAATGTAGAAAGTTTGGGAAGAAGAATTTTGTGTGAGACACTGTAAAAATGGTAGTAGCCGTTTGCGGATGATTTTCTCCATGGTTCTTGATAGCATAGATGTCAAATTACTGGACCTATAGTTGGCAATATCACGACGTTTTCGCGTTCCAAATCTGGGAGTGATAAGAGATGTTTTCCATACAGATGGGTAGGTCCCATATTCCATAGACAGGTTGAACAGTTTTAAACAAAATAATGGGAATTCTGTACCACCACATTTCACAAATGATGAAGGAATCTCGTCAAGCCCACCGTCATAGGAATTTTCAGGGAAGCTATGACCTACTTGATGTTGGTGGATAGATGTCAACATTGGAAATGTATAAATAGAGGTTTCAATTTCAGTATTGCAAGAAATGCTGATTGAATTATTCACAAACAGTATCAGGGTTGTCAACAATGCACCCATTAACTATGAAGAATTCAGTCGTACCAAGAGAATTCGATTTCACACGGGACTTGAAGTATTTGTAACGCTGGGCTTTTACTACCCAGGGCTTTATTTTCTATATTCATAAAATAATTGCGTTTAGATGAAGCATTTCTATTGATCAAGTTAACTATACTCTGGAATGCATACATGCCATGATGTTCATGTTAGCGGTGTTTCAATTTTCTCAGCTTTTTCTTGAAGAATTTCATAGTATTCTGGTCCCTGTTATCGTTATAAGCCACGTGGCCAACAAATACGTCATTGCAGTCAAGGCAATATATCAAGTCGTGGTATAAATCAGAAAGCGCAGCGTCAATATTATTTGTGGTAAAATAAGGATTTTATGGTGAACTTTGAGTAAAATTTTCAGTGCGCTACCAGGCTCGTTGATCGAACTGTCTGTACATCATTGCAGCTCCATAGTTCGTTTGCATAATGTTAAGAGAATGAATAATTTTCAATACAACTCTATGATCATTCATAAAAATCTCATAACTGATGTGTACTGAGATAGAGTATATGTTTATTGCAAATAATGACTCAAGTATATTATTCCTCCTAGTCGGTTTTCGGTCTTGCTGGACTTATCCACAAAGTTCTGTTTCAACTAACTTGTTATATCGACCTGATACCGAAGTCGAGACAACTTGCATCCACCGGGCTTCATTAGTTTTCAATTCTAGAAAAATAAGACTGTTGGCGGCTATAGGTGAACACTTTGAAAATTTAAAATTTAAGAATTATAATATTTAACACTTCTAACACATTGCATTGAAACCACGAAACCTAGAATAATATCTGCCCTTTTGCAAGAAAAAATTAAAACATGCTTTCATTAACTAAAACTCAGTATTTTGATCAAAATGACGGGTCAGATATCTTAATTTTCAAAAAATTTAAGGTCTGAAGAACACCTAGCTTTGTTTATCTGAATAGACAATTCAGTTTTGAGGTAATCGTCATGTAAATAAAAACGTTTTACTTTCAAAATGCCAAGAAGTGCTAGAAATGTTAAAAGCAAAACACCAAGAGCCTCAATAGGCGTTTCAGACTGGGAATCAAAACTTTGCGATCTCAATTTGGACGATGTATGTAGATTCTTGAAATTTTTATAGTGTTCAGGAAGTATGGAAAATGTCACTGTCCATTCTTTCACCATCACTATTAGCGGAAAATGAGATCATATCAATTTTAGCAGCAAGCATCGTCAATGGGCAGCGTCAAAGATTCACGGTAATAACATATGAAGATGTTCTGAATCAAATTTTCACTCAATGTAAAGCCAAAAGTCAGAAGGATGCTCCAGAATTTTTTGAGATATGCAATGTGGCTAAAAATGCCATTGAAACCGTCGATGAATTAAATCCACAGACACTTTCAAAAGTTTTGAAGTTTATGTTCAACAGCATAAAAACACTGGACATTAAGCAGCAGTCATTAAGAAAAGTTAGTTTAATAATGGTTTCTTGAAAATATTCACTGAGATTCGTTTTATTCCAGTATTGTGCCAGAAAGTTAGCGAAAAGAAATTATTTACCGTCCTATCTGATATGTTTATTTATCTGACTTCAACTTCAGTCTATTGGTGAACTTCTATTAGTGCTCGTTTCCACCTGTTTATGGAAAAATGGGGGAACTTTGAGCAAATTAAAATATTTTATCAGTTCACATTTCTTTTGAGTGCATTTCACTATTAAAAGTCCTAAAATACAACCTTTGCGAGTGACGTTTTCCGCACTGAAGGTAATTGAGTAACAACGCAGTATAACACTGATATGTAACTTAAATTTACACATATAAGACCCCTACCTTAAACCAGAATTTGGAATGGTTGCATATATTTTACTAAACTGCAGTTGAAGTGGGTTTTTTGATTTTCAGTTGCATATTGAGGATTTGTGGTTACGTCTGATGAATCTACTTTGATCGGATACGCTAAGTTGTATTTTCGAAAGTTTCTAAACGTGACAAACCCTTTATTAGTTTGCTATCAGCTACCTATTCCAAGGAATAACCAACAGATTCTATGTGATTTGAGTTAAATGGGTTGTCGATCGAAGCCCTTTAGTTCTTTGTTTCGTGATTATGCACTGTTGTACTTAAGCCGCTTTAATAAGACTCCTCACACTTCCATAGTGTGTTCATCTTATTCCAAAGTTAATGTGTTAAATGTATGGAGATGCATATCCAAAACTGTCGGCTGTTATGTGCGCAAATAAACTTAGTCTATATAGGTATCCAACACTCATATCACTTACCGAGTGATACACAGTTAAAGACATAAAATGCTAAGACAGTTCTAAATTTAATTTTACTATTCACTTCTTATCCGTTATTTAACTCTCTATGTCTTTTCCTGGCCAACATTTGTATTTTGATTTCTATTCCATTAACCATCGTAGTATGGATAAATATTCCGTCGTTTTATTTTCCTGTCCACCCATTCATGAAGTTGGCGAATAAATTTATTTGGTTAAGACGCTGATAAAATGCAGAGTCTTCTGACCACTCTAAGCAACAATGCAAGCATGTTCGGGATGCGATTCTCTCCCTCGAAATGCAAAATGTTTCTTCAGGACTGGCCTGCGTCAACACTCGAACTAAGGGTAGAGAGTGAAGTAGTTGAGCGTGTCGACCGCTTCACTTATCTTGGAAGTCTCATCAGCCCTTGTGGTTTGGTGTGTGACGAAATCTCAACACGGATACAGAAGGCTCGACTAGCTTTTGCCAACTTGCGTCATTTATGGCGTAGGCGAGATATCCGTCTATCAATTAAAGGACGTGTTTACTGCGCAGCAGTTCGTTCCGTCCTACTTTATGGCAGTGAAACATGGCCGGTATGAGTAGAGGATGTTCGTAGGTTACTAGTATTCGATCATAGGTGTCTTCGAAACATTGCTCGTATATCCTGGGACCACCGAGTAAGTAACACAGTTGTTAGGACACGGGTACTAGGTAAGGATGGCAAATCAATTGATGAAGTAATGAAACTTCATCATTTGAGATGGCTGGGACACGTGTTACGTATATCCGACCACCGACTGCCTCGACGTGCGATGTTCAATGGTATAGGAGTAGGTTGAAAGAAAGCTAGGGGTGGCCAGACCAAAACATGGCATAGGTCCATGAAGTCACTGACAAGTGGACTGAGCCATGTTGGTAGGTGTAAACTACTTGGTTGGGGACCGCAAGATGATAGCAACCGATGGTTAGAGATCTTGAATGACATGGCTCAAAATGGTTTACGATGGCGCAGGTGCATCCACTCTTTGTGTTCTCCCAAATTCTAATCTTCTGAATTCTTCATGTCCATTATTTTCTTTTCAAATTTATTTCACTGTATTATACTCCTTGAATAACATCTTCAAGCCCTAATGTTTCCGATTACTGCTTATACTCTTACTTCATCTATGACTACGGAATTTGAGTCGACAACTGCATCTCTGTGCTAGTATGGTGTTGTAACTCGAACTGATGTACGTACGTACGGAGTTCTACGTTGCTACTGACTAACTGACTGAAAATCAGTCTCTTATCAAATAAATATCAGGGTGAAATGTAACGACTTTATGTACACTGAATTTGTAAATAACATCGTCCATTTATTTTAACGTCTAAATAAATTCCAGTTCTTCATTGGTTAAAAGTTCTGACGGTAATATACATTTCGGTTGAAAATTGTCTTTTACCAAATATTTTGGAAGTTTATTACTTTTTACTACCGATTGTTGATAGAAAACCATAAGCATTTTGAAAATAACTATGATTTGATTAATAATTTGTTACATTGAGCAATATTTTAACTAACTAAGTCAGATGAAAGGATGGTTTAATTCAGTCTGCAGTTAGGAAACATATAGAAGCGATCCTTATTTATGAATAAGTGACTTGTTATGGGCGTTTATTTACCAACATATAATTGCCTAACTTCATTCTAAAATGATATATATATTGATTTGCTATCCGCAGAGTTACTGGTCTAACTCAAAATATTTCCACGCAAGGATCTTATTTTGTGTGTGCTTATTATTTAAGTTTTTTATTCGTCCCTGCATTTCGGCTAGCACAGTGGTAATACGTACGTTGTTTATGAAGTTTTGGCTCTTCTGAAATATGTTCTGGATGACTAGATCTTCAGCTTGATGGATTTTTATTTTATGTTGAGTACTTTAAAAACAGATGACTTAGGGTACTTGATAACTGATTAACCAACAAGTAAACTTAGTAGTGTTACTACTAAAACAATCAATTTATCAGTGCATCTGGTCGCTGATTTAAAAATACTTCGTAATTGAAATGGAAGACAGACAAACAGATCTACATATGAACACAAAGGCTACATAGATTAAAACGACCTATTACATCTGACAGGCTTTTAAACAAACAGTAGAGATACTAATGAAAGGGTGCAATATAAAGAGAAGTGCAATGCTCAAATTATAAAATGCGGGGAACGAATTTTAAATAGTCATCTTATCAAATAATGTCTTTATTCGGCTGATTGAGTATCGTCTTAATGTTTCTGGAGCTTCGAGTCATTAACTCTAAAGTGTAAGTAGATCTGCCTTAATTGGTATCTTATTATACACCTTATACACCTTGAATCAAGCTCTAAATCTTCAGTGGTTTCCGTTGATTTACTAACTTTGGTCAGCATTAAAAAAATGATGTAACGAGTAATTTGTTAACGGCTTTTTAGTTATGTCCTATAAAACAACAATCCTTTCTACGTGAATCAGTGCGATCCATATAACCGTGTGTGGACCTGGTGAAATTTGTGTTCATTTTTGTGGAAATTTTCTCGTAAAATGCCAATGCGAATCCCACTCTCATTTTAAAAGAAGTAAATCTTGAGTTTTATATCGTATGAAGCACGTTGCAAATAACTAGGTTTTTTCACATCTATCTCACAGTCAATTCCGAAGACTAACCATATGGAGAATACTAAGAAGAAAGAAAACCCAAAAGATAAAAAATCTGTTGCCAAAGTCATAAAATCACAAGAGCCACCAGTAAACAAAGAGAAAAGTAAACTTTATAAACGTGGGGAAGAAGCATTAGAAGAGAAATACCTGGGTAAGTGGGTAGCTCTCAGACAATCGCACTACAGCATGTTGTATACATGATGGTCTTTGTGTTTTCAAAGGTCAAAAACTTGTGAAAGTTTGTTTGTAGCATCTTTTTGTCCTCAGTATACGTGATGTTTCTGTCGTATCACGGTCAAAGTTAAGTCACTGAACCTTTACTTAACTCTTCTTATTTCTCCGATTATAGCAGTTGTTTTGAGTTAAGATTTTGAACAACAAACATATTAAGTAAAAAACGATAGCTGCTCTGTCCCACAAAAAGTTTGGGCGAACCTTCTTCATTCATGAAATTTTACTGATTAATGAAAGTGTTGTAAGCAAAGAATACTTAATATTCATAATGGTTCAAAAATGGCTATTTTGATTTCATCGTGATGATTGGCATACATTTTATATACGATATATGCAAATATCGCTAAATGTGAAGTTGAACATAGCTGCATGTTTGTTGCCTTCCTCACTTATATTCTTTTCCGGGCACTTGAGTTGCTTAAGGATAATACGAAAACAAAGGTAATTTACCTTACACTGTAAACTAGATAGTTATGTGTAATTCAACAGTATGAATTGACAGGCTTTCGTCGATAATTCCGGGACTTTATTCAAAACTTACAGGTTTTATAATTAATAATCTTCTTTGAATCTATTGGTATGTTATAAGTGATCGGTATTTTTAGCATCAATTTATTCATAGGTTTACTACAAGGTATTCGTCTTTAAACCTAAAGGTCTTGACTCTGATACTAAAATAATTAGAACTCGATACTAAAGAAACATAACTTGGTGTAATGCATAGTTTATATCTTTATTCGTGGTCTTGATAACCTCTACAATAAATGTTAAATCTTACAGTGGCGACCATCTATTTGATCCTTTACCTTCGCTTAGTTGATGGCTTTAGACTGCCAGGACTCAAATGAACTATTATCCATTTACATACTTTAGTTCAATCTTCATTCATTCAGTATTTACTTCGCTCTTTTGAATATAGCATTGTTTGAGATTCCGGAAATGTGAAGAAATACATTGAACAGACTTATGTACCAGTGCAAAATAATCATTTTGACTTTTAATGTGAACAAGAGAGGAAATATAAACCATTAAAACTAATAAAGAAAACTTTATGATAGTTTCAAATAATTAGACATGACATTTCAACTTTAGATAAACAGTAGTTTAGCATGTCCACTTTTGATAAAATGATTCGACTGGAATTCATATAAAAGAGGAAAATTGATAAGAACTGCTACGTAATTTACTTTTGTCAGAATTTTTTTATAGTGTCTTCTCATTTTAAAACTTATTTTTTTAATAAATTAATCCAACAGGTGATGAACCAGATAATGGAATCAGTCGATATATTCTTCTTGTTAATTTTGAAAAATGTGGACTTTTAGAAGAGTTATGTCGTCTAAAAATAGACATCCATAGTATTATACGTTTGCATGTAAATGATCAAAAGCAACTTCAAATATTAATCACCAAACAGAAGGCTGAAAAAATGTGGGGTTCCAAAGGATGTAAGCAATGAAGTTAGTTGTATCATCAAAACACGTTCCGATCTTTTGTTTTTGCCTTCAGTCAGTTTAATAATTATGAGAGTGATTGATTTTTTGAGTTCGCTTATTTATTCACCTTACTGCTTTTTGCTTCACAATCTCCTGTTTAATCAATGATGTAATGACCTCTTGACCAATCAACCAGTGGCTAAGAAAAATGACTGGGGAGCCATAATTTTGATTAGCTAGTGTCTAATCAAAAGGTATAGTTAGTGAGCACACATCTTCATTGTTTTATCGTCATCTTTAGCCAGAAACTCGTATGATAATATACACTACACCGCAACATAAGTTAGGAACTTCAATATGTACATAGCTAAGTTATAAGTGAAACAAAATCAGAGCAAAAGAGGAACAGTTGAATAATCCCAATAGTGGGATAGTAAAACACATAACAACCGTTCATAAGTAAAACGAGAGCTTACAATTGGGGGAGCATAAAGTTACAATAATTAGATAGGTCAAAAGGTTATAACGTTAGCAGTAGTCACCCTGTCATAGCAAAGCTTTATTATTATCAAAGGTGTTAATAATTTCTGTTAAAAATAATTATACAATAACTCGAATTAAATCCAGAAATTTTTTTGAAGTATTTCGCGATTTGCTTTAGTCTTGAATTAAGAAACACGAGATGAATATTTTGATTTCCCTTCACCTACTTATTATTGTGCCAAAACTTAATGTTTGCGGTATGTAGGATCATTTTCTGTTGTACCGAATTCTTAACGAAGTTTTTCAGAATAAAGAAAACAAGTTACAAATTTGTTGATACTTTATGCCAAACACGTTGACCATTTTTAGGGACTCAAGTCAATAAGTATTTGTATTAGTACCCAGGGTGATGCATAGCTAACATACAGGACAGCTTCTTGGGTTAAAACCGAAACTATTTTCATATCTGATTGAAAATATTATCTATTTATAAATATATCGGTAAGAGTCGGCGAATCTCATTAAAGTAATCTGATGCCAATTTCTTATTTATTAATTTAGATCTTGCTTCAGAAAAGAGTTTTAATAAGCAAATAAGGTGACTTCATGTTGAGAAACTGCTAAATTTTTATTAAGAATGTTAAATATCCATCTAATGTTATTCACATCATTCCATGGTGGACAGCTTTCTGCTATACCCTACATTTCATTCGTATAGTTATATACATTTTAAAGTGGGAGATTAAACTGTGAAAACAACTTGTATCACACATTGAAAACTTCCCGAAGATTTCTCTGCTCACGATAAGATGGGTACAAAAAGCTTACAACATTAAAGGCTGATATTTCTGAAGTAAGCAGACGTCTAACAGTTTCGAATTCCGCTTTAGTTATTGCTTCAGGAAACAATATTTTGAAATTGATCAACTTATATCTATTAATTAAGATATGCAAACCACTTAGCTGACGCTAAGTAAATTATTGGCGTACAAAACTTGGAGAAATAATAAATATTAAAGGAATTATTTTTCCCTATATCACTCGTTAAAAAATAATCTTCAATTACTTCCTTTAAAAACTATTCATTCATTGGGGGAAACAGAGTCACAACATTTTTAAAATAAGAGGGAAAATGTTTATGATTAAAAAAATACAAAAATGTTATTAATGTAGAACCGAGGCTATTCAGTTCTCATCACATAACAAATGTCCAATGCTCATTGATTTTCAATTGTTAGTTAATAGTTGCTGATGAAAAGTACGTTATACTTTTTGCATTTATTTAACCCGATATAGAGCTAATTATTGATTTATGCTTATAGGCTCTCGGGAGAAACTTCTGTTAGTTTGTTCGTTATCATATTTTTGCTGACAGTAAGTGAATTTAGAGTGGATAATTGTATGACATTATATGTACCCATAATCAACTTTTATAAACCTGAAATAAAAAAAAACTATTAGTACCAGGAATATGTTTATAAGTCAAAGTACGTGTTTTCTTTCTATAACAAGTTGAATGTTATCACCCCATTTCTCCAACATAATTATTTCTGCATGAACTCATATGCACATTTTTATTTTAATTTCCAGCTGAACAAGATTTAGAACAGATGAGATCTGAAGAGGAGGCATTATTACTAGCAGAAGAACAATTAAGACAGTACTGGCGTACAACTAGTATTCTGATGCGAGATCATGTTTATGATCGTTTAGGAAATATTGCTACGTTAGATTATAATGTCAAAACAGAATTACTTCCTGATGACCTTAATGGGGCAGAAAACAGGGTTAGTTTTCCAACTTTCCAGGGGTGAATGCGTCAAACGTACTTTACTGTTTTTCTACTTACCATGAATATTCATAATTTGTTAAGCAGAAAATAAGTTTTCTTTATTCCTGTTGGGTACTATCCATCTAAGAAAGACTTTCAAACAGTTTGTCAAAAACTGAATCAGGTATTAATCAGAACTTCAGTTCTGGCACGAAACAAAAGTCATCTTTATTTAAAGAAAGTTGCAGTGTGTCAGATTCTAGCCTTCTTTATATCGTCCGAGTGTGAAATTCAAATGTTTTACAATTTTCATAAAATGTTGTAATGATGGAATGAAGGTTCTCAATAAAAATCCGCATACCAAATAAAATAATTTGAAGGTAATTTGACATGAGCAGATAATCTAAAGGGATTTACTTTAGGGTTAAATTGTACCTAATGGCTACTAGCTGAAGAAAATATGAAAAAAATGTTTGAAAAGTGAAATGAAGGTATCGAAAACAGTTTAGTGAGATGATAGACATATATTACTTGAGTTATAGATGTATTTTTAACCTCAATTTTTTTAAAAACAACGAAGGTTTTTGGGTTATCAATCAAAGTCCAGGATTTATTTTTGATGAAACTTCATAAAATAATTCATGTCGACCTACACCTCATAAATATTCCACTCATCCGTAAAAGTGACAATAATGTGGTGAAATCCAAAGACAAACGATAATGGTTAACCAACTAATACAAACTTGAATATACAAGTCAAGACGAAACTAATGGGGATATGTGTGTGTAGAGAAAACAGTTTACATCTAAACAGGAGACCAACCAAGAATAAAAGTAGAATAAGTCAATCACTGCTTTTCATCTAGTATGGATAAAGTCATGACTATTCATGCTCACGAAGTGCGTTCTCCTTTCACGTTTTAATAGCTGGTCTGAAAACAAGATGTAAAAAATCAGCCCTGGAGGGTAAAAGGATCTCAAGAACAAATTTGACTTCCTGTAAACCAGATTTTAACTTAAACTTGAAAGTAACAACTTATTTCATTGTGCGGCGTATGCTACTTATTTGGACAGATATAAGCAGTATGTAGCACCGATCGGGAGGTATTGTTTGCGAACAGAAGACCAAGAAGACTGAAATCAAGAGAATACAGAAGAAAACTGGAAACAATCAAGATAACAACAGGAACGAAGGAGTAATGAAGTATCTAAGAGACAACTGATGGAAGATGTGTAAATGAAGTAGTCAATGTATGGTTTTTATATTTTGCGAAGACACCCTGCAATTCTGTATTAAACAATGATTTGCTCTTCCACATCCGAGTGTTCGTTCACTTCAGTTGTATTTCTATTCACTGATTAACAGAAAAACTAACAAAAAGAACCTTATATTTTAAGCCATTGTTTATATTTTTAAAACAGTTGCTACTCATAAGTAGTTTGTATAATTTAATCCATTTTTTAAGCTTATAGAATGGAGTTAGGTTCCTTGCACGCGCTGACTCGACACCATTACATATCGACTACTTTGGAGGAATTTACATTTTATCGCAAATCCAAGTCTGGGCGCAAAATAACCTTGTAATAGCTCCAATTCTCTCAGCACATAGTTTTGTTTATTTGGATAATTAGTGGAATGTTACACACTTAAGGATTACAGATATATCTTGCTGATAGGTGCCAACCAGTAAAAGTTATAGTTACAGACTTCTGGTCACTTGCCTTCAACAGTTTCTTGTACAGGTGGCATATTTATGAATGTAATTAAGTGCTTACTAATATGTTTCAGGTTCAAACCACACTTCACCTACGAAGTCTGAGTAATCATTTATCAATACTAACCTGTCATTAGCTGAATACATGTATCGACATTTAATTACACCACCATTCACAAATCTGGATCGAAAAAAAGAGACACAGTCAATAGTATCAAGTTTCGGAACTAGTAACACGCTTAAACTGAGGTTTAACATGAATTCCCATCGTTATTATTTTACTTCGTGAACTGTAAACAAACTAATACTAAAAAATTTGCCCTATTCACCATTGTATGATGGTAAAGGTGCAAATTAACCTGCTTCGGATAATATTCATCTCACGAGTTTAAATCCTTCAAATTTTGTCTTCCTACACATACCACACAGGACTTTGGAAAATAACTTTAATAAGATTATTTGTGCCAGGAGTAAAATATTGGCCCATTAACACTGAAATCTTTATTAACCTATTACCAAATAAATCATACCAACATCTGATTAGAAACTGAAGCTTCATTAAAATCCACAAACTAACCTTCGTTGGCGCTAAAAATATGTCAAACAGAAGTGAAAAATCATACCAGTCTGTTGTTAGGTTCAGAGTTTAGTAGTCAAGTAAAAAATTCGATGATTACGAATGGCTGGTGTAGGTAGACTGTTTCAGTTCCTAATGCTTATCCAATAATTATATATTTATGGTGGAACTTCACAAATATCACTTTATTTTGAGGCATTTTGTGTAACGCTTGACATAATGCTTTATTTATTTCCACCTTTCTAGGCATCTTTTGGAGCCACGATGTTCAATGAAATATCTACTATTCTGTATGATCTGATAGACTTTAGACGCCAATGGAAAAATTATTTAGAACATATAAAAGTCATTCATTTACCTATATGCCCTCCTTTATTGAATGAAAATGATTCCGTAAGTAGCAACCAACTGTTGAAAATGTCTAAACCAGCAATCGGTTTACATCCAGATAATATGGATAAACCTGCAATAAAATCTGAAGATTGTGGTGATATTTTAGCGGAAGACTTCGTTGATATGAGGTTTTATAATGAAATACTCCAAGGTTTGCCAATCGAAAGTACTAGCGTTGAGCTAATACTTCATGCCGTATTAGAACAGGTAGGCCTTATAAAAACATTTTCTGACTACGCTTAGTCAACTGCATATGACAAAGAGGGTTAGTTAATTTTGATATCGGTTCTTATTTTCGTACTCCAGGGCACAGCTCAAAAGAAATTCATTTTCTTTCTGCCAACTTTTACAAGTCATTCACTCAGTCACAGCGTTCAATCTTGTTTGTATGTACATCGGCTAAAGTTGCCACTTTTCAAACATGATTCCATTGCTGCCTAACGTAGTTAGAAGTCTACATTTTGCCAGCGTCTTCACCAAACACATCTATATCATCTTTGTATTCTAACTCATTCAGTGAATCTACTTGCAGAAAATCAACCTGTGAAAAGTCAGACGATGAAAGTGTTATCTCTGAAAACATATGTATGACGAATTCAAACAAAAATGGGGAAAACGGAAAACCCTGACGAGCACTACTTGAAGACATTAATTCCGATGACTGATCGTTATTAGCTCTTATTTAACCATTAGTGTTCGAGTAGAGAGAGCATATATAAGGTTAACGTGTTTCTTTGGTAGGCGTTTTATTGACAGATTGCCACAGATCCTCACGGTAAACGGAGTTGGGCGCCAGCTTAAGGTTAAGGAATATAACTGTAGTCGGACATCGTAAAGTATGTTCTAGAACCTGTCGGGGTATTTTTATCAGATCACCCAGATTTTTGATGCATTCACGGTATTCTTCTTGTAAATTTGTGCATTTATGAATACGTTCTTGTAAAAATATTGTGCGTTGAAAAGCCTCAAGAGATCATCAGTAACATTCTGGTGGTTTAACAAACAGAGACCTGGGGATGATGTTGTCTTGTAAATAGTGTTTATTAAACATTATATGATTATGCCGATCGCATTTACACTTGCGTGATTGAATTCAATTACCAATGAGTTTATATATACCATTACCAAAGTTTGACTTGATGATTTTTAGTAAACTGAGTATTCGGTAGTTTTTTAAGTTATAAAAATAATGCATTTATAATATCCAATGTGTAGAGAAATTAACAACACAAACATATATCCAAGCACTTCTCATAAAAATAATCTTGACCGGCGTGACATAACATTCAATTGGCCAGATCTGTTTTTGACTGACTGTATTAAATATTTTGTGCTTTGTTCCTTTGAACTATTTGAGCTTGGATTCATTTAATTTGTTTATTTAATTTATCGCCTGAAGAAGTGCCTAACACCGACTCACGAAATGTTAGAAAATCTAATTTTTCTACTCATTAGTATATTAAAAATATATTACTTTTATATTGTAATGATCGCTTTTTAGAAAATTAGATATGTAGTTGTAATGAAGTTATTATGTTATTTTACCTATAACCAACGAACTTTATTGTTTTATTAACTTTTAATAGGTTATTGCTAATGAAAATGAGATTTTACCACAGGCAGCATTAATTAATGAGAAAGCAAAAAATGAGGGATATGATCCACATATTTCTAGAAATATTGCAAATGAAGTAGATAAACTGTTCTTAACTGAAGAAGAGAGAGCTGTAAGTCAATGTACTATATGATTTTCTTTTAGTCACTACATAGACAAACTGTTCGATACTTGATTCTTTAACTTTAAACTAAAAACCAAAATTCTGTAAGGTGGTTTATTTTAAGGGTTGTCAAGGTTATTATCAAACGAGATTGTGTTTAAAAATCATCCAATTATTCATTTTGAGATGTTAGTTCTATTTAAGGTGTGACTTTGAGTTATTCATTTTGACAAATAGTCAGTCACCATAAACAAAGTTCCTGAAATGAGTGTTCCTCAGTCATAGTTGTTGCATCTCACGTCACTGAGGTCAAAGGGAATCAATAATCTGAGAAACATAGGATGGGAAACAATATCGAAAGCAATGAATGTTCAAAAGTGAAAAGTACAGTTTGAAAGGATCAAATGGGCTAAACATATAAGACTTCCGGAATATTGTTTAACTTGTGAGAATGAATATAATTGTGTAAATGAAATTTGTTTTCCACCATGTTATACAACATCTCGAACCCGCGATTATGAGTACTGTGTAGATAGAAAATGACAACGCGACGCCCGATGTTATGTTTGTGTATGTGCGTGATATTCTTACAGTACTCCAGTGATCTTGTGAGACATTAGGTTCTGTCGGAGATATATTGTTCTTTCTGAATTAAAGCAATTAATACTTTATAATAATAGCCTACAAAAAATATTCACTAAAAATTTATTGAAATGTGTAAATGTCATCATCGTTCATTTAATACATTACAGTGAAGGTATAGATGTAAATTTCTTATTCCTAATCGTATGCTCTTAAGCGATATCTATAAATTAGTCGCCTTGGTCGCATAACTTAACATAAAACTGTATTATTAATTTGTATGATGAGTTATTTAGTGAACTAATATCGTAAACTATCATTATTCCACTTCTCTCTGTTAATTTATTAACAATAAAAATGAAATTTTACGTCAGTGTAAATTTTTCTACACTACCATATTGATTACTTACTGTTAATGAAATCACATTACTAATTTATGTCGTCCAGCAACATACATTTATTTATGTAATCACAAATATTGACTTCACGATATGATAAGACAATACTAATTCTAGAAACTAACTTTATTCGATGAAAATTGAGTGGATTTACAATCGATTTATCATTAAGTGGTGAATAATGTTATTTTTTTCAACTCTTTCCTAGTACTGATCGAATTCTGCTATTCAAATTTTAATGTGACAATCAGTTTGAGTGACACGTGATTGAATTTGATAGTTTTCTCAAGACTACAGGTACACTGTGCTAGCTAGTACTATAAAGCACAAAAACTAGGCATAGGGTCTCTTACTGATAACTTCCAACTACCTTACAAAGTAAATGAATGTTTTTTCATCAAAATTCTACAATATGTAAAGAAAATACACTCCTTTTATAAAAAAGTCAAACAAAATTTGAAAACTACACAAACCTTTTGTTCACGTTTTGTAGCATCTTTAAAAATCTTCGCCAAAATGTCATCAAAGAAATGAATTCACAACTAATTATTTCATATTATACCATAACTACAGATCACTGAACGTATTAAATGTGTTTTAATTAAACACTATATTTTACTTAACTTATTATTTAAAGCTCAGCAGTGATGTTTAAATAATACTGGATAATTTTGTAATGGGTTCGTTTCTAGTAATAAAAATGATCTGCAGCAACTATTTTAATAAAGTACTTCTAATCAAGATAGATATTTATTTTTCCGAGTTCATATCACTATACAAATTAATTATTAACAATTATTAGAAGAATGGGTTTTGTGGAGATTTTTAGAAATTTCACTGGTTGAAATTATGAGTCAATTGAAGCTAGACCACCATGGAAAACCTGGAAGCACTGGACGGCCATTTCGTCATAGTTAGACATTAACACCGTTGGATGCCGGCTCAGTGGTCTAGTTGGTTAAGCACCTGGCGCGAGACTGATAGATCTTGCGTTCGAATCTCGCGGGGGGCGGGATCGTGGATGTGCACTGCTGAGGAGTCCCATGCTAAGACGAAACGGCCGTCCAGTGCTTCTAAATTTTCCATGGTGGTCTAGCTTCAATTGACTCATGATTTCAACCAGTGAAATTATTAGAAGAATATACATTTATTGCCAAAATTATTTTCATAGTAGACAACACAGTGAACAAACTGAAGGGTATGATGTTTTCTAACTTAATAATATACAATAAAAACACAAATTATACATTGAACAAAATTTTATCGATTAATTCGAAGAAAACATGAAGAAAATCGTAGCCATTTTAATTTAAACAAATTACTTTTAATTCTTTAAAATTTACTTGTTATACTTTAAAAATTGTTAAATAACTTGATTTTGATACCTTAAAAATAGGTTTTATTCATTTAAAAATTAATTTCAACTTTTTATTGTTGAGTCTGAACACTGACTATTATTTTAATTATCATAGAATAATTTTAATAGTTGAGATCATGAATTAATTGAAGCTAGACCACCATGAAAAATCTGGAAGCACTGGGTGACCGTTTTGTCCTGTTGTGGAACTCCTTAGTAGTACGTATCCACGATAGAACAATTTATACTATTAACATTAAGGGTTTGAGATGTCTTAATATTAATATTTAGGACTGAGTTTTGACCGGCTTTTGTTGGTATATATGAGTCCTTTGCCTGATGACTTGATGTGTCCAACACAAGTTATTTTAAATGAATGGATTTTGGCTAGCAGTGAAATTCAGGACGTGTGTTTTATTATATTAGAGATATCATAGGGTGAATGTATCTGGATTATAAGTATCTGAATAGTAAATCCCATACTCACTGAATATGATGACGCGTTGACGTTCGCAGTAATATGTATTGGGTTCGGGTCTCAGTATGAGCACCAATACTGGAATATGGGTACCTCTTTCTGACAGGTCCCAATCATGATGAAACGCGCTTCTCAAGTTCTACTGCTAAATACAGTCCATCTATTTTAAATTGTGAATAACTATTTCCAAAACATCATCTTACACAATAATAAAAAAATATTGATTAGTATAGCAACATGTCAAGTGTAATAAGACGTTTATAAATACTTTTTTCAAGGGTGTCATTTGTTTTATTCTTGTGGTCGTTGTGATAAGTTACGTAACACATTAAAACATATTGCTAAACTGTAGAAAGCCTGAAAAAGTCTGAAAATCAAAATGACCTGGAAATAGGAGCTAAAACTGATATTTTAAAAACTGATTTAATTGAAAAGAATAAAAATGTTACAATAAAACAACAAAACCCATAGAAATATGTCATAGAAGTGGCCCAGTCTAGAGCAAAATAAATAGAATTAAACAAAGACAGAATATAACGTAAAACAATTGGCTTAGTTGATTGGCTTGTGATGATTTGTTTATCAGAAAGATAGTTTTCATTGCGAACAGACAGTGATCATAGAAATGACTTTAAATCATTTTATATTAAACTGATATTTTGTTATAGTTTAAGTTTCACTAACAATTGTCAGTCATTAACTTGCACGACGATGAGCTCTGAATGTGTTCATTTAGAAGAGAATTTTCATTACCAGTCACGTTTTTCGTTTCTAGTTGAATTTTATTATAGTTTTGAACTGATTATCTTTTGTCAAAATTTGAACAATTAAGAGAGATATAATGCAAACTTTAAGGGATGATGTTAAATCGTAGTTAAATTGTAATGTTCATAAAAGTAGTAGTTTTTCATAAAGATTTACATGAGAAAAGTATATAGAAATATGAACAGACATTTCTATAGATTGGAATGTAGATGACTAAATATAATAGTTTCCACCCAAGAAGATTGTTTTTGACTGTAGATGCTAATTGCCATGGTATTTTACAGAGACTATAATAGTGAATTGATATGATTGACGAAGTGATTAAAATGATATTGGAAGGAAAAAGAATAGCTAGTCAATTCACGTTGCTACACCTATTGACGTAATGAGAATAAAATAATTAGGTAAACTTATTTTTTTACTTAATAAGTTTATTAAAATAACGTGAATTTTATTAAAATGCTTAAGTGATGGTATTCAATTTTTATGGTCATTTTACATTTCTAAAAGCCAACCAACCCACTTACATGTTCTACTTAGTTTCTAAAATGTTGGAACTGGTATAGAATTTATCGAGTAAATGTTTTCACCTAATCAGCCTTACATTTCTCTCAACTTTACTCCACCTCTATCAAATGGCTAGTTAAATTAAAGATTAACTAAACCATGAAAACGACATACTAAATTATGCAGTTTAATTCAGTTAAAAGGCTTGTACGTTCTATATCTAACCAAAGAACAGGTGAATAGTAACCACTAGAATCTATTTGTGAACTATCGTTATATACATTCTTATTTTAGAACTATTAAGCAACTATGTTGTGTGTATGCTCATATTCCGCATGTTATATGATTCCATTTGACCTATTAACTACTACTATACGACTTACTATCCTTAAGTTCTTCCTAACATATTAGTTACAGTGCTTCACAGTCATAGCTACTTCTCGGCCTGATCTTATATAATTGTTATTTTTTATTTTATGATATGATGCGGTCTGGTTTGTTTGTAAATAAACCCAGTATGTTTAAAATATATGATTCGTATAACGGAGGCTGATATTGGTGTTCTGAACTAAACTGGCTGGGTTAGGCAAGAACCTACTATCTCGGCGAAACAATAAGAACTCAGAATTGACTATGGACTGCTTGCACTGGTTTATGCGTTATGGGCCTGTCCATTAAGTTGGTGTTTTAATTGGAGATCATATCACATGATAGTTAACAGGCTATAAGGAGTAACACAAAACAGCTGAAAGTTCTTGATTCAAGTAAAACATTGAACTAGGATGATCATGGATTTTAATTGATGTCCTTGAAATGTATGAAATAAATGATCGAGGTCGCCAGTTTATAAACAATATGACAGCAGGAAAATGTTATACCTCATAACATATAACTTTGAAGTAAACAAATTGAGCTTTCATGCTTAGACAATCGACTCTTGACTAATTTAGTTTTACTTAATAATTTTACTGAACTTACTTTCTGTGTGTTTCATTTTTAGTTGTAGCAACACCGTGAAAACTCAATTTTTCTATACGTTCGTAATCTCTAGTTTTATGTTTGTTAGTCTACCAAAAAAGATTTATACAGGAAAACAATATTACTTAAACCTATGTAGGTAATATAAAAAACCTACTGATTCATGTAAAATTCGACTGCATTTCGATTAAGTGCTAATCTAGAAATTTGAAGATAAATTGCGATAGAATTATAATTTACATTTTGTGATACCCTGAATTTGAAAAACAAGTTGATTCACAGCTACCACAATATTTCCAGACAGAGGTCTATTGTAACTTTTTAATAGCACTATTAGTCTTAGTTAATACCTTTCTTTACGGGTGAATTATTGAATTTTGTAAATGAATTACATATCATTCACATGACTTCTTAAAAATAACAAAATATCCACAGCTAGCTTATAGAATAGAATTACTACTGGTCAAATAGAAAATAGTCTTTTTTATAGGAAACACTGTCTCGGTATTCGTGAGCTTAAATTTATCATTACAGATGGATATTTTTCCAAATAGATACTTATATATTACGTGTTATTGGCAATGGTTGACAATAACTTTTATCGCATAACATATTTGTGTTGACAGTTTAATTAAGAATTTCACAATGGCCTATTATTACTTTGAAAATACTTTATTTTGAATCAATATACGGTACAATATTATAATACTTTGTCAAAACTAATTCTTTCTTGTAAAGTATCTTTAAATTATAAGTAACTTTAGTAATTGTGATCAGATAACTACAAACACGTTAATACAGAAATACAATTAAATTATCATTACGATGTTATAATTTTAAAATGATTTATTTTATCAACTTGAATATTTAAATTTGATCATTTTGGAATTAACATAGGAATTAAGTGAAGAAATGTCATTACACAAAAAATCAGGTAAATCTTCTTTGAATACTTCACCAATTATTATACTTCATCCGTATGATGAAAATCGATATAAAACATTGTTTACAGCACATAATAATCAAAATAATGAAGAGTTAATGAATTCTGAATTGAATTTATACAGTCAATTATTTCCAAGTATATTTAATAATACTTGTAAAGAAAATACAAAATTTGAATGGACATCAGAATTACAGCTTGATAAAAGTAATAAAGAGAAAATTGGAAATGAAATAATCGAAGAAAGTTATAAGCGAATGAAAGAATTGAGATTTCATCAAATTATGCAGTTTGCTGAAAAGTTTGGATTTACACCAGAAGGTAAATAAGTGTATAATGTAGACATTTTAGTTCTCTTTTAATCCTTACAGACATTAACAAAGCTTATTTATTAGGGAATTACTTGAGTACAAAAATGGAATATTAAATTTTAGTATGATATTTATGAATAATTACAGTTCGGAAATTGTACTCCTAGGCTTGAATTAGAAACTAATAACTCATAAATTTGATCTTATTTCACTTGGGAATAATAAAAATATACTTTTTATCTAAAGTGCCAGTCAACACAATATTTTAATTGATGGAAAGGTAAGTTAAGACAGATAATTTTTATAAAGCAATATGATAATCATTTTTCAAATGTATTCGGTCTAAGAATGATTATCCGAAGCTATACTGTGCTACAATTACAGATTTTGTTTTTTTGGCTTCATCTATCTTATCGACGTATCGGGAATTAGAATTTTATTTCAACGTTACAGAATCTGTTTTGTGAGTAATCCAGGTCATTTGTTATTGTGAAATGATTCTAAAACCTCATCTATGAAAACATTTCCGGATTTTGAAAATGTTAGAATTATTATCATTCTAAATATCGTTTAATAAATGGTTGGCGAATAAACCAGTCTTGTTTGACAGTATTTTGTTTTCCACATCGATAAAGCGGTTTTATTGCATTCCAAAAAGTAAAAGGTAGGAATATGTTGCAATTATGGATAACAGCTGTATCGGTAGCAGGAATTCGTTTTTAGCTCAAATCACGATCATTACAAATCAGTCTTGTTTCAAGTCGTTACAATCACTAAATCACACTAGGGTTGTTAAATATTTCAAGTTATCAGTATGGCGATTTGTGGAGATTGTAGTATTTTCACAACTGAATTCACAAGTTGATCTAAACTAGACCATCCCTGAAAACCTGAAAGCACTAAACAGCCGTTTCGTTATAGAACGGAACTCCACAGCAATGCTCATCCAAAATCCTGCACGTGGTCTAGCTTAGACTGAGTAGTGAATTCAACTGTGAAAATATTTTAAGTTACTTTAATGATCGTTTAGACATCTAGAACAAGTGAATACAGAAATACGAAAATCAAGGTATATAAGCCTCAGTCATCATTTCAGCCGGTTTATTGAAAACTTGTATGAGGATGAAAATTTCTGAATAGATGGTGATTTATTTTGGAGTGTTAGTGGCTAGATGTTAAGGTGAACTGTTTGAATGCATAAAACTAAGTCTATATTCTTGAATATTTAAATTACTAACCAAGGTTCAAGTTTCAGCTGTGTATCAACCAATTGTCCAAAAAATTAAAATTCTGGGTACTATAAGTCAAAAATTATTTCATTCGACAAATACTGCCGTTAACAGTAGTTTTCACCGTTCAACTCTAAATGTTTTGATCATAATGTACCTTTCAGCCTAAAGTGTACAATAGGGTGAATCTGTGTGTTATTTTGTTCTAATCAACCATTGTAGCATAAGTTACCACTATAATAGTGACTACAATATAAAATCCAAATAACATTTTTCGTTACAGAGTTTAAGCATTACTTTAGTAAACTTCAACTAGAAAGTTTACAGATATGGAAAGCTTATTCAACAAGGAAACAGTTTCAACAATCTTTAAATATGATTCAACCACTAGATTCCGCTTGGGAGACATTACCGAAAAATCACATCAATCCAACAATGGATCAATTACTTGATGATATTAACAAAGATAATAATCAGCTCAAAAACACAGCAATACCATTCGATGATCCATACTTATTATATGAAAGTTTATCAGTTTTATTTACTCAAATTGAATATGAAATAAATAAAATGCGGAAATTTTCTCTTGAAAATGAAATAACCAGTGAGAAACATCAACATAATTCAATTTATAATTCTTTATCAACTCATTCATCATCATCATTATTATCTGCACAACAACGTAGCCGATCATTATCATCAGAATCATCTGTAAACCGAAAGTCATCATTATCAACCAGACAAAGTACACGAACAAGTCAAAAAGGTAAAATTTACCCACAGAATAATCGTTAAATATTTGATTTTATTAAAATAGAAACTGTTCAAAATATGATATAAATTTAAAACAAACTAAATATCCCGTTTAAAAGTAGAAGTTCATGTATTCATTCTAAATAATGATTAAACTATATCAATTAAGGAATTTCATATAAATAATAAGTAGATTGATAGAGAATTATAATACATAATACTTTCATTTTAAATTCACTTGGTGTTATTTTTACTTATATTTTCCCATTGTTATTTAGAACTAAAATTGATCAGTCTCATGTTGGTATTATGTGCGTCCTGTGCGGATTGCCTCGATATAGCCTAAAGTCCATCTTGGCTTAAAATACGTTCATTTTAATTGTGTAAAATCATATCAAGTTAATTTTTATGATCTTTCAATTGGTTATTTGAGTGAGACTCTAACTTATGGACGACTTTTGAACGAATCTTAAGTGACCTTAGGAAGTAGTAGCCAATCAGAAGACAGTTAGTATGAAGTAAAAATATATTGTAAAAATCTAAAGAATTAAAGTGGATATTCTTCTTTTACATCGTTCAAAATTTTAATAAGGTTTGAAAGAGGTTCAGAGGCTTTGAAATCGTAGTGCATACGATATAGGAACTCATCCATATGGCTCCATAATAGTCGACCTCTGGAGCCGTGATAGAGTTTTAAAAACACATGTAGCCTGGACCACATAGCCTCAATATTATTAGTGTAAACTCCAGTTATAGGGTCTACAAAATGGCGCTTGTGCACGACAACATGATGCACATGCCCAAGTCTATGTAGGTATCTATATATCGTAGTGCTCGGCCGCACTTATTCCTGTATAATTGGTATTATTGTGGTTGCTTGCCGGTTTCTAACACTTTGAAAATGTCCCTTTTGCGTTGATGTGACATAAATTCCAAGTACCTGTGAGGCATATTTACGGAAGTGATACTTAACCAGTCTTCCTTAATATTACATCCTCTTTTATGTTTTTGCTTCCCTACTACTGTTTCATCTATTTCACCAAGACTCCCAATTCCTCTGAACGACTCGTGAAAACGTGTCATTTTAATTGCACATATATCCCTGCAATACTCATACCATTGGGCAGCTGAAGTCTCACTAACGTCCGCAAACGCTGCAGCCAGTGTTACTAGTACTTTTATTATCCAAATTGCTACAATTATCATAATTTCTCTCAGTCTCAATCGCGATCGAGCGAAGAAAGTACCCGGTCGAGCAGAATTCTTTCTCCAACATAAAGAACATCAAAAGACAATGTCATCACGATAGTCTGAACACGGTACTGCAATAATTTGATTACCACAGTCACAGAGAAAGGAATTTCTTAGTAGTCCGATCTGTTGAAGACACAATAATCACGTCTTCTCTAAAATCCGCTATAAACCAATCGTACGTGAGTATCAGGTACTGAAATTGGCGCTGTGACCTTGAAATCCCTTAAACGCTTCTGATTGGCTCGTTCATAAATTAGAGTGTCGCCCATAAATATTGTTTAAGTATACTGAAGATAATTATATTTACTTAAAGTCAATCAAATTTATTTTATTCAAATTATGTATTAACAAAAAAAATATCCAGAAAGTTCGATGAAAAATAACTGAATTAAGATTAAACTAAATGTTCCTATTTTAATGTAAATAGAATATGTATTTTGAAAAAGAAAATTGTTTACAAGGAAAATGAATAAAATGTTTACTTTAAACTTTCTTGACCAAATGAACTTTACAAATGACATTGATATATTATAACATATTGTTTTGAATAGCCAAGTAATATTAGAATTATTGTGTAAATGATTAACTATATACATATAATTTAATATGTTTTATATCAACTGAGATAAAGTAATCTATCATTTAATAACTTTTATTTTCGATGATATATTATATTATTTCTATGATGTAAGACTTTATAACAACAAATATATCATTCTTACTATTAACAACACTGATGATCAATTAAAAAACACACAGATAAGAATGTATTATTTGAACTTGATAATAAAAAAAATAACTGAATAATTAAAGATAGACGATAGCTACTTGTCTAATTATTAATTTTAAAACTAATATCTATGTTAAAAATGATTGGTGGCTAGTAGTGGAATTGAAGATGCACATTTTTTATCATTTGGGACTCTTCAACTGGATCTACTTACACCCCAGAGTTGATGTTCATCCCGGAGCTTGAACCCAGTACAGTTTGCTTTATACGCCGCTTGTTATCTATTTAGTCATTGAGTCCTGATAGCTAAAACTATGGGGAATATGCAGTGAAAACAAATGCTGTTTAAAAGTATATTAAGCCTTAAGTTTTTTTAACTAGCTATTTTGTTAATTTTTGACACGTATTCAGAAGAGTGGTATGTGTTATTTTCACAGTACTTGTAATATTTTAAATGATTATGGTTTTTGAAGTGTTTGATTTAATCCGTTAGACAATAGATAGTTCTGTGGTGGTCGGTATTCGATATAATCCTTAAACTTCGTATACAGCTCGTCTTGATAACCGTTCTATACAACGTCCCAACGGTTTATTAATCAGAAGGCAAATACGAAGTGTTGATTACGTTTATTACGAGACCACACACATATATCCAAATGTATAGATGCGTTAAACAAGCATAGAAGATTTGTGCCGAAAGGCAAGCAAGCGAGCGGGAGCCAGAGCAAGAGCGAGACGAGAGCGTGTGAGTGAGTGAGTGAGTGTTGAATATGAATAACATGGACATATATATACCATGTGAAATGAATGAGTAATCGAATCAAATAAGCAGTTGGTAGTAAGACTAGCAGAGTGAATAAATGCGTAGGTCGTAAGCAATATTCAAGCATACGTATTTCATACAAGCACAAAATAATAAGGGTACAATAAGTTGTTATAGTGCGGATGACTTTGTCCGCTAAATAAGTTAGCAAAAGAGCTTAACTGAATTAAATGAGAATAAACCCAATTACATGTGAGTCGCTATAATAGCTCCCCCCTGCAAACAAAGATATATGGAAAAATGTCTGTGTTTGCACAAAAAAATAGTAGGCTGAATAGGGTAGTTACAATCGTTTGAAAAAAATGGCTTGTGTAAAATTGCGATGAAGTTAGTGTGTGCTGTACATTTGGTTTGCGCCCGTTGATCTGACTCCATTTAGAGCGTTCAAAAAAGTTAACATGTACTAATTCTATGACTGTCTGAACGATAAAATAACACATTTGTATGAGTGATTCAAATTATCGTGAAAGTAGTAATAAATTGTTTGTGGGTATGACAGGGAAATAAATCGTCAAAATGAGTACAGTAGAATATGACAGAAATTAGTCTGTGATGCTGACGAAATAGTGAAATACGTTAAATATATGTTCTGTTGAGCCGCAGCAGAATAAATAGCATCGACTAGCGATGAGTGAATTCGAATTTAAATGCGTAATTCCCGTTCGTAGGATGATAATAGTTAAGTCGTGAAATAATAACTGCATCGACGGGTGATATTCGTTGCTGTACTGCAATTGATAATAATCATAAAATTTGAAGTCAGTGAACGTTGTCGTCTGCGTTATGACAGATGCATTGAGTTATCGTTAAATATGTATTAGTAGAAGAATGACCAGAGGAACAGAATAGTGACTGAGTAGACGAGGTACGTAGAGTCGAATTCCTTTTTGGTCATGAAGCCTAGAGTAGTTTGTGTGGTTTGAGGAAGATGCGGTCGACCTCGTTTGTTACAAAACCGTACCAAGGCATGACAGAAATACTAATACATATGATTAGCGATGGCGACTTATGAGACTGACTTGGATGTGACGAACAAGAGTGTATCTTTGAGAGACTAGCTCTAAACTCTATATTCTGATATACCGTGCGATGGGTATAGAATAGAATAGTAGTTGCAGTACTCGAATACGTTTTTGGTGATAAGTGATGCAGCATGTAGTTATGCACGTGGAAGAATAGATAAAATGACCTTAAATGGTTACTAATCAGCTAGTTAGAAGCATCCACAGACATAATAGGAGGCGATTTCAAAATGAAAAATGTATGTTGTGATAACATAAATTGCTGACCTCGACTAAGTGAATGAATGCAATATTAGATCAAAATGACATAAAAATTGGAACGAACTCACTTAAAGCAGGAAAATTTCACGTTTTTGAATAGTAAAAATATCCCAATGAGTTCTCACAAAGTTAAGTGGAATTTTCATAAAATGATAATTTGTTCGGTGAGTGATATGATTGCAAAAATGTCAATCTAGTGACAGCACGAACAAGATTAATAATTCCACATTCGGTCATGGTATTGATAATTTGAATCGTAATCGAACAAACCGACGAATGGATCAATGAGAATGGTTGACATGAGAACAAAGTATCGATAAGATAATACGACTTGAGCATGTCCATACCATGATGCACAGGCTTTGCTGATTGCATCGGATTGGATATTGCGCTGGCTTCGCTGAATTTGTCCGTCGAAGGCATAGAGTGCAGAAGTTCCTTGATCGACGTAGCTTGCTGCGTTGCGTTCGTCGTCGGCGGGCTTACCAATTATGTGGTGGTCGGTATTCGATATAATCCTTAAACTTCGTATTTGCCTTCTGATTAATAAACCGTTGGGACGTTATATAGAACGGTTATCAAGACGAGCTGTATACGAAGTTTAAGGATTATATCGAATACCGACCACCACAGTTCACTGATTTAGTTTATACTATGGAGTTATAAAGAAAATCGGTCACAAATGGCAGGATAGAAAAATTAAAAAAATCGATATGATAATGATTGAGGCAGAACAACATGGATTTATTATATTTCGTGAATTCACGTCAGTTGTTCGAAGAATTTGTGATTGGTTGAAGTTAGACATTAACACCGTCGGATACTGGCTAGCTCAGTGGTCTAGATGTTAAGCCTTCGCGCGCGAGACCGAAGAGCACGGGTTCGAATCCCACCAGCGAGATCGTAGATGTGCACTGCCGAGAAGTCCCATACAAGGACAAAACGGCCGTCCAGTGATCCCAGGTTTTCAATGACGGTCTAACATCATGATCTCAATCAAAAATTTAACAATCTCCACAGCCCAATACTGACAGTTAACTTTGAAGTGAATGAGTAAATATTTCCTTCTTTGGAAGCTTTAAAAATCAGTAAATTTTAAGAATCAGCTTCGTCTCAATTATAGGATTTTAAGTAATCGTCACGTTTTGTTCAAATAGTATTTTATCACTGTAGACTGAATATGTTAATTCAACTAACATATCTTCACCTTCAACTCAGAGCGTATTATTTAGGCCCCATAATGATTAAGCTTTCCAGACAGATATAACTTGGCATCTTACACAAAAAATATTGTATTTCAGCTTTTCGCAAAAACCGGCTGACTGGAAAGCGATTACCTTGAAAATATCTAGCAAGATTTACATTGACAAAGATTTATTTCTTAAGGTCCCTCCTGTTTTTGACATACTTTTTAATGCTATATCTGTTTAATATTATAAAGTCAAAAACTATAAACGACAAATAAATCTCAATCTACTTATCTGACTGATTTTTTTATAGGTACTGGATCCCATACTACTCCAACTTCAATAGAATCTGCATCTAGATCTAAATCAGTTAGTAGTAGACGAAGTTTATCAGCAGTTCATTTTGATGTACCTAGTAAAAGCATCACTCATGAAATTAAAGATCAAAAAAGCAAATTTAGTCGATTAACTTTATTTGCTCAAGAATTACAAGAAATATTAAAACAACTTCATATAAACAATCAGATACTGGTTTCATTTGATAAAGAAAAAAATAAAAATAACTCTGAACACCCGTTTGAAGCATATAAAGTATCACAGGAGAATTTCGGTACACTTCTAAATAAAGCTAAAAATATCCATCTAGATGAGTGGTCAGTGGAGGAGAAATTAGAACCGAATGTATTATTACAGGTAAAATGCTAAATTATTCTACCAATCAAGAATTCGTTTTAAAACCCATTTTAGAATAATTAGTAAAATGTACCCCTTGTTTTAGGTTTGTGATTTATATGAAAATCGTACTAATTACATTAGTCTGTTGCTCTTTAAAGTAATCAACACGATGTTATGTATACATTATTAATTTAAATATTTCAACTGAGTTTCAGCTTCAGGATTAAGCAGAGAAAACAAAGCACTTTAAAATGTATTTGATGACTTGGATCAGTTATATTTCCATTCAGTTACACAATATTATGGTCGATCCACTAATTACAAGTAATTATCTGATACTTGTATTTTTACTTCACGGAAAAGCGTTGGAAATGAGGACGCTCGACATTTATGTTTCGTCGTAGTTTAGATCCACTCAACAGTCCCCACGAGAGGTCGAATCCAAAGCCTTCTGCTTGTCCTCGCTGCAGACGCCTAACTTTGAGACTACAGAATCAGAACAAAATGGTTTACATTTCCAACTTTCATCATTTCATAAGATAACTGCTGAATAACTCAATGACAACATCATTGACCACATTTTATGGCTTAGGTAGCTTTAAGATTGCAAATGTGATCCAAATATTAATCATTTTCGTTACAGTGACACTGACAACAAATGTAAGCAATATAACAACAGCGTAGGTAATCAAAAAGCAATTGGACTGGCAAGAAGTACGTCAAAAGGCAAGGTAAAAATATTGGCTCCAAGCAAGATAAAACAAACTAGGGCTACAATAACTTATAGACGACCTTTGAGAGATGCAAAGTGACCTCAAGAATGTCTACCTACTGACTATGACTAAATGCGGGTTAAAAAATCAGTGTAAGGAATCATAATTATAATTTCCAGTTGATAGTTAGGGTTAGGAATTAGATTTAGGGTTTTCATCATAAATCGACATCAGCTAAAGTCCCAAAACGCTATTACACCAAGTGGATGAATGAATTTGGCGCCAAAATTTAAGTCCTGTTAGCTTATATCTGATTGGTTCGCCCCTAAATTATAGTCTCGACAACTAACTTTATTAATCTGAACAATAAATGATACCAGATACTGTTTTTCGTATTTAAAATACATTGAAATAACAATAACGTCTTTACATACATACAAGTAATTGTTGTTTGGTATCAATACTAGCATAATTCAAAAAGTCTTTCTGATTTAAATTTATTAGTGCAGTAATGAAATTAGAATTAGCTGAATATTCAGGTGAAATATCTGTTTTAACAGTAATTATATACTTATAATCAAATAAATGGATCCTTGTCACTTCTTGTATTACCAAATAAGTAATTAGATCAAGTGTTCACATTTAGACATTTGTTTAATCGATAAACATGTTGATAATTACCAAGGAAAGTCAAAGAATGATATAGTCAGATGAATTATTATTAGTTCAGCTTAACTACACGTTTAAACTATCAAGATTTAAATATTATTCAGAGGCATTCTAATCTTACATACATTATTTAAAAGTTTCTGTTTCATGACTCAATTGATGTACATGAAATTATTACTGATCCATCTACTCTAAATAATCCAATATATATACATAAAGAAAAAAATCTACAAAGCAAAATGAATTCGTTACATTCACTTGATATTGTTTGCTTGAATTTTCCCATTGACGTTTAGGACTGCAATTGATCAGTCTCTCATTGTCATGTGCATCCTGTGCGTATTGGCTCGATATTGCTTTAATTCACAAGCATTATAGGCAAAGATGGATAGTGGCTTGGAGTGGAATCCAGGGCGCACGTTTCTTCCTATTTGTGACTCGTCAGTCACTTGCTTGTGCAATCAGGACTCAATAGCTAAGTGGACAACGCGACGGAGTTTTCAAGCGAACAGTATTGAATTAGAGTCCCAGAGTGAACATCAACTCTGAAGTGCAGGTACATCCAGCAGACGAGTCCAAAATAATGCGAAACGCGCGTCCTGACTTTGTTATATTTCGAGGATTCTTGTTGGCTGATCATAATAAGAGTGTTATTGTAAATCTATTTTATCCATTTTGGTCAGTGAAGCTAAATTTAAAACAGAATAGAAAAATTTTAAAATAAAAAGAAGATACAAAATATTTTACATCGTGGTTAACACTGATGATTATTGATATTTTAACAATAAAAGGGGTTAATTTCATATATAGTGATTAGCAAATGAACTTCAAAAATTAGCAAATGATTGTTTATATTATCAACCAAAAGATGTTATATAAATTAAGATCACAAGTTGATATCAATGAAATGCTTAAAATAATAAATAAAATAAAAAACTTTTATTATAAACATACTTATATCACTGTAACTAATTTACCATGGTAATAAGGGGTTTATCACACTTTCTCTTTTTGGGCGTAGAGGTCAGATTATAAGTGTATGATAATAAACGCCTAACTAGATCTGAGTAAAAGTGTCATTAACTACTTTCTAGCTATTTTAAATGTTTTCACAGTTACTAACTTATATCCACAAAACATTTAATCCAATATTTTATAGAAATTTCGGTTGATGAAAAGTTTTGTTTCCATTCATAAGTGATGAAATATAAAAATCCAAAAGTAATTTTCATTAAATTACTTAATTTGTCTTATTATCTTACAGTTATGTTCAATTATATGATTGCTCGTAGATTTTTTGTGAATATTTATTTTAGAGATTACATTCATTAAATTATGAAAAACCTTATTTGGATGTTTATAAACGTTTGTATGATGATAGTTTGTTTATTATATCACATCATCCATTTGATCGGACTATTCGTTCAAATCATTACACGTGGTGTAGTTGGTTTCATGTGAATAAAATAGGTTTTAGACCGTATCTACAATTGATTGAAGGACATATTCGAAATTGGACAAGAGAACAAGAGGCAATTTATGAAGCAGCTAAATTAAGCGCTGAAATATTACAAACTGATGATATTGTAAGTTTATACATTATTCAGTTTAGCATATACTCACATGTATGTTATTGATTGAAATACATTTTTTATTATGGATAATTTAGTGAATAATAAAGTACAAACAGTACGATATCATAAATATTTCTATGGAAAAATTAATATCTAATATTTAGTAACGGAAGGAAACTGGTTAGAAGCAAATGACAAAATTTGAACTTACCTAATATCTTTTTTTCTAAAACAATCCATTGATTTAGTTCATATTATGTTTATGTTTTTCTTTGTAAAATGAATTATAAATCTGTACAGAATGGTTCATCAACTGAACAATCTCCTACAAAACCAATTAAGAAAAATTCTCCTAAATCTCAAAAAGGTGCAAAATCTAAACGTAATCGTTCAATCAGTGGATCAGAGTCAGAAGAAAGTATAGTACAAAATGAAATAAAGTCATTATTAGGCGATCCAAATGAATTTATTTTACCGGGATCATTGAAAGCTGCACAGAGAGATCAGGTAGACATTTTCATTTCTGTTTCATTTACCATATTTTATTTTATTACTTTTATTCACAATGATCAGTTGGATTTCTTTACAATTTTAATGCGTCAATTGTATTGTTAATTTCATTTTATATGTACTTTTATGAACTGTACTAGTCTCTGTTTATCTGCTATGTCATGAGTATAGGTTCAGTATATTTTTAGAGTCAAGTAAATTAGGTCATTGTAAACGATAGTGAAATACATTTATGATAAGAGAATATTTATTTACTTGTCAGCTATTTTAAAACAGATTAATTGAAAAAAGGTCTAGATCCACTACATGACTTAACATTACCACAGATGCCTTAGAAATATCGCTGGCGTCTGCTAGGATCACCGGGTAAGTAATAGTGAGGTTAGACACAGGGTATTAGGGAATGATGGTAAATCAGTTGATGAGGTTATGAATCTTCATCGACTGAGATGGTTGGGCCACGTGTTACGTATGCCCGAACACCGATTACCACGACGTGCAATGCTAACCGGTGTCGGAGATGGTTGGAAGAAAGTTAGGGGCGCCCAAACCAAAACGTGGCATCAGTGCTTGAAATCACTAACTTCTAGTCTGAGCCATGTTGGTAGATGCAGACTACTTGGTTAGGGTCCGCGTGACTGCCGTAACCAATGGTTGGAGACTCTTGGTGACATGGCTCAGAATCGATCACAATGGCGTCGGTGTATACACTCTCTGTCTTCCCTTAAACTAAGAGATTAAAATTGCTTCATGTCTTTCTTTCTAAGAACTAATTCTTTCTTCCTGTATTAGATCCTAATTGCAATCTTTCTTTTATATATTACCACCTCTGAATTAACTACTTTTATTAATCCGTGTCTATCTTGTTGTGTTAATGAGGTATGGCAACTTGAACCGATGCATATATGTGCCTAGTCCTACGTTGTAGCTGACTGACTGACTGATTAAAAATCAGCAAAAATATATGAGGATTATTTCCTAAAGTGGTCTGAAATAGGTTTAATAAAATATTAGGGTAAAGAATGTGTTCGAGCCGTACAACATATCATGACGAAGCATCAAATGGTATAAGTGTTTGGCTGAATATCTCTAGCTATTTCAGCCCTCTGAGGTAAAAGAAATTAATACTTGGCTTGTTTTGAATGAAGTACTGATTTTAAGTATTATTTTGCTGTTATAGATGACAGTTTCCTGTTCTTAAGTTCGTACAAGATTGTTAACAACTTGTGTGGGCATTCTTAGTTCACATATGATACAAGTGAGTTCATTCCATCATTTTCTACAAAATATGTGCTAGATCATAATGTTGGATCAGGTTTCTTTTGATTAGGAGAAATATTTTGAAAACTCGAAAACAGATGTTTGAAATATCTTAACCATATCACATATTGCCGATATCTATTCCTAAAATGAGAAGTCAATGAAGCTGAATCGTTGAATTAATTATTAAGATAATTAGCCTTCATAGAATGTACTGAGCTACTCAACTTCACAGATTAGTTTCACTCATAGATGGTAGTAAATAGTCTAGATATGGTGATATCAGTAAATAATACAGATACATAAATTGCCTGGCTACTGTTCAAACTAGTGATAATTGCAAAAATAAAACACCAATGGATTGTTAAAGTGCTTAAATATTACATAGTTTAATAAAATCCATGTAATTTCTATTTTCCCGAAATTTTACCACACAATTGTTTTTTCGTCACCAAAGTGACTATTTATATATATTTGTATCCATATCCATCAAACTCATTCATACAAAGTATTCATCACTCTTTTATGTCAAGGAACGGGCTAAATTGAAAAAAGATTTGGAAGAACGTCAAAAAGAAACTAAACGTGTCAAATCAGCCAAAAAGCCTACAGAAAGAGAAATTTCTCCTACAGAGAAGAGAAAAACTTCTGGTAAGCGCAATAAATCGCCGCATCCCAAGTCACCTGTTCAGAAGAACGATCAAAATGATGAGTCGATCCAACAACAACAGCTCAGAACCAAGAGAACAAGTAATGAATTTTGGCCGGTTAGTTAATTTAAAGCAATATCCATTTTGTTCATTAGGTAGAAAACGATTGACATCAAAATTATAGTTAATAATAAACATTTTCGTTTCATCCAAAAAACCTGAGATAGTTTGTTTACGTGTCTGTAAGTGAAATCTAATCTTACAGACTGAACAGTAGTAAAATAAGAACATATGTCAGCTGTCCAACCTTTTCAAAACATGTCTGTTTTTATAAACATTGTTTTGGATACTAGATATTTCATTATCAGATCAAAGCTAAAATGGTTAAAAATTTTATTCGATTTCCAGGTAATACGTTCAACAGGAGGTATAAAATTCGAGATGTTAGAATTTATGATTTGTTCAGTAACGATTATTACCAAATGTTATGTAGAGGAGAAATATAAGCACTAGGTATGATGTATTAGATTCATAGGTTATTTGTGCAAACTCAAAAATCCTGCTTTTGTTACCATAATTTTAAAATGGTCAGAGTCACTCAAACCACT